ACACACACACACACACACACACACACACACACACACACACACACACACACAAGCGCGCGCTCGCGCACACACACACACACTCACATACACAAAGAATTTGTCATCTTAAACCAAAAAACAATATATAAAATTCAATAAAAATTCCCGAACAGATTATTTGCCGGTTTCTTCAATTCCGTTATTTTAACGAGCCCATTGATTTCACCACGATGTTTCACTTAGTCCTATCACAACCTCTCTGCTTTATCTATGAGACATGGCGCTGTACAGTGCAATTGGGTGTTTTCAAAACTGTCACTATTGCTGTGCTTTTAACTTATCATCCCATCCAAATTTCCTTTCGAGAGTAAAGGAAAGGCATATTTGTCGTATTTATTCGTTATTTCATTTTCCATATTTTTCGAGATGCCTTCTTACCCTAAAACGTTAGTGAGTGTGTCTTACTATTTTTTTAAATCCCTTGTCCATTTATATGAGATGGGCGCCATCTGATTAGTAGAAAAAGTGCATATTATATTATGATAGTGTCTAATAGTGTATTACATGCAAATAACTGTTACAGATATAGATTCAAAGAGTATAGGTGTATGTCAATTATGAGAGCAATGATAGTTTTAGAAATAATGGTGGTGATGAGTGATGATGCGGGATTGCGTTTAAGGAGTGTTAGTGTTAGTCCTCTGCTGCAATGAGTCACGAGGGACGTGGGCACCCTCTATCCCGTTCCCAAGTGGAACCATTTATAATGTCACCTTAAAGTTCCGAAATTGTGATCACAGTCTTTGCTAAGGTGATATTGTTAGTTTTAGTAAAGAGTGTGTCTTGCTGATACCTCCGTCATTGTGATATTTCAAACGCTGTTTCTCCAAGGTGGAGTTAACAGGATGTTTGAGACCACTTTACCCGCGTCTGTAGTATGGCAGTTCAACGCTTTTCTGTCGCATGCAGGAGACCTGAGTTCCATTCTAAAGTGGATATCTCAAGTATCTTTATCGAGTATTTCGGTCTTTCTGCTGGAATGTATGCCTCTCAGTCCAGGTTGGTCCTGACAAATAGAGTCGGAAACCCCTCTGCTAAATGATCTAAAATGTGTCGATTGTTTCATTTTTTAAAATTTAATGTTCATTTTGTTTCATTTTTTTAATTATTATTTTATTGAAAGGGGGGGGGGGATAAAACGCCTATTTAAAAGAGAAGGCACTTTAAACTAAAAAATACAGAAAAATGCCGGGTCTCTTCTAGACTTTATTTAGCATTGTATACGATTGTTGCTGGTAATTGCAGGTAAAAATGTTTTCTGCCGATTATTCCATTGGCAGTAAAATAAAAAGTAACAACCCACAGCGTTCGTCTGCTGGAGCTACATTTCTTTCAATTACTGATTGAAGCAACTCACCTTAATTGATGAGCCCTTTTCCCATTTAAAGGAAAAAGATGGGCTTAGCACCCTTTAAGACCCAGTATGGTTTATCCACAAAACGGACTACGAATCGGTCAGAAACATGTGTGCGGAGCAGCTATATCTGAGATTCGACTTAGGGTCATCCGCACAACCGCCATCCTTGATAGAACCTGAACAATTATTTTGACAAGTTTCTGTGAGCGCCGTTAACTAAAATTAGTTTTTCATTGAACAATGATATGGATAGCCCACGATCAGTTGCCCAACAGGGCACTGGGCGTTCTGGGATTTGTTTCCGTGAGTTTTCGTGACGTTCTGCAAGGTGGAAGAGGGGGGGGGTATGTTTCTTTTTATTTTACTGCGAATGGAATAATCGGCAGAAAAGTACCAGCAGCTATCGTATACAATGTTAAATTGGATTTTTTTTTTTAAGTCAGGAGAGGGGAGAGGGTGATATTGGTTGTTTGATCGAACTCTCGGTCATTTGATGGACACCTGGGAAGTACACTGAAACTATGCATGTTTAGCGCCCCTTGCAAAGCTGCACGCTTATTTAAGAGGCCTGACCTCCGAATTTAACGACCATCTCCTTTCTCTGACTCAGTGATTGACGTGTGATGATCGCCCATTCTTCACTGTTTCGAGCTGCCGTTACACTTTCTACCATATCCAGGCCAGTCCATATTTTTTGTTCTTGTTTTTTTTTGGTTTTTTAAATTGTTTTTTTGTGTGTCCATCTCCTATCGAACTGAGCAAAATACGAAAATTAGTGTGACGTGGCTTTCCCAGGGATATAGCGTCCAGAGCCTCTATCTCCCAATCTATAATCTCACTATTACGAGTCTGG